CTTGAGGCTCTTTTGGGCCGTCTTGGGTGCATCTTGGAGCTATCTTAGCCGTCTTCGAGGCCATCTTGGCTGCCTTGGAGGCATCTTGGAGGCCATCCTGGGCCATCTTGGCCGTCTTGGAGGCCATCTTGGGCCAACTTGGGGCAACAACGGCATTGACGGATGGATGTTCGGGAATCTCCCGGGACCCCGGCGGGGCGGGGCGAAGCCCCAGGGGGGAGTTATTTTTTGAAAAAGAACTAAAACCATATCGTTTGGCACGCCAGGCACCCCTGCGATGAATCGACAGGGGGCGGCGGATCGAAGACGCCTACGGCGAATCACCGCCGCCCCCTTCCTTTGCGGAAGCGCCTATGTGGCCGAACGTTGAGGCCAGACTTGCCAAGCTATCGGACCATGTGTTCCCCGAATCGGTTTGGAAAGCCTTCGGGGAACACGTGGGCATCTTGAAGGTCATCTTGGCCGCCTGGAGGCCATTTTGACCCTTTCGGGCCTTATTGGAGGACGTCTTGGGCGTCTTGGAGGCCTCTTTGGCCGTCTCGGGGGCCTCTTGGGGCCGTTTTGGGCGCCTCTTGGGCCGTTCTGCAGCCATCTGGGGGCCTCTTGGTCGATCCTTGGGCGACCTTGGGGAGCTCTTGGGCCGTATCGGGCCGTCGGAAGGCCGAAACGAAGCAAATGTCAAAATCCTTGAACAACCTACGGAAAATTATGATTGTTCGCCTTTTCGGGCCTTCCTGGAGGCCCTCTTGAAGGCCTCTTGGGCCGTCTTCGGCCAGCTGCGAGCCACCTTCGGCCATCTTGGTGGTCTCCTGGCCCGCCTGACGCCGTCGGGAGCCGTTTCGGGAGCCTTTCTGAGCCGACTTGGGGACATCTTTGGGTTCTCCAGGGCCGTCTTGGAGGCCATCTTGGGCGTCTTGGAGGCCTCTGGGGCCGTCTTGGGGCCCTCTTCGGCAGTCACCGGGCCATCTTGGAGGCCTCCTGGGCGATCTTGGGGCGATCTTGGGGGCCTCTTGGACCGTCTGGGGCCGTCGGGAAGCCGAAAAGTAGCAAATTCCAAAATCCTCCAAACACCTCAGGAAAATCAATGATTTTGGCCTCTTCGGGCCTCCTGGAGGACCTCCTGGAAGCCTCTTGGGCTGTCGTGGAGGCCTCTTGGGGGCCTCTTGGGCCATCTCGAGGCTATCTGAGGCCGTCTTGGGTGCATCTTTGGCCGTCTTGGAGGTATATTGGGGCCATCTTAGCTGTCTTGGAGGACATCTTGGGCCGTCGTGGAGCCGTCTGGATCATGAAAAGGCATCCGTCCGGGTGACCGGCGGCGGGATGGGCCGAAGCCACAAAACCAAGAGCCATATCATCCGGCACGCCAGGCACCCATTTTAATAAATCAAAAGGGGGCGGCGGATCGAAGACGCCTACGGCGAATCACCGCCGCCCCCTGCCTTTGTGGAAGCGCCTATGTGGCCGAACGTTGAGGCCAGACCTGCCAAGCCATCGGACCATGTGTTCCCCGAATCGGTTTGGAAAGCCTTCGGGGAACACGTGGGCGTCTTGATGGTCATCGTCGTCGTCTTGGAGGCCTCTTGGGCGATCTTTCGGCGATCTTTGGGGGCTCTTGGGCCGTCTCGGGCCGTCGGAAGGCCGAAAGAAGGGAAATGCCCAAATCCATCAAAAACCTTGGGAAAATCAGTGATTTTGGCATCTTTTGGCCTTCCTGGAGGCCCTCTTGGGGGCCTCTTGGGCCCTTTTGGGCCAGCTTCGAGCCAACTTCGGCCATCTTGGTGGGTTCCTGGCACGTCTGACGCCGTCGGGAGCCGTTTTGGGGGCCTTCTGGGCCAACGGGGGACCCTCTTGGGGCGCTCCAGGGCCGTCTTGGAGGCCATCTTGGGCGTCTTGGAGGCCATCTTGGGCGTGTTGGAGGCCTCTTGGGCCGTCTTGGGGCCCTCTAGGGGCCATCTTGGAGGCCACTTGGGCCATCAGGGGCTCTCTTGGGGGCCTCTTGGGCGATCTTGGGGGCTTCTTGGGCCGTCTTGAGCCGTCGGAGAGCCGAAAAGGCGCAAATGCCAAAATCCTTCAAAAACCAAGGGAAAATCAATGATTTTGCCTCTTCGGACTCTCCTGGAGGACCTCTTGGAGGCCTCTTGGGCCGTCTGGGAGGCCTCTGGGGGGCCTCTTGGGCCGTCTTGGGCCGTCTTGGACTCTCTTGGGCCGTTTTGGAGGCCGTCTTGGACCATCTCGGGCGGACTTGGAGGCCATCTTGGGCCATCTTCGCGATTTTTTGAGGATGTCCCGAGCGAAACGGCCGTTTTTGCGCACGGTGGCGGGTTCTGCCGGAGCCCACTGGGGAGTTCTTTTGGAAAAAGAACCAAAACCAAAACCTAACAGCTCGTCCAGCACGCCGTGCACCCCTGCAAGCAGGGGGCGGCGGATCTCATGGCCTTCGGCCCATCCCGCCACCGTATTTGATTGTGGGCATGCATCTTATTTGATTTTCGTTCGGCTCTCGTGGGAGGCTTCTCGGGGGCCTCCTGGATGCGGTTTGGAGGCCGTTTTGGGGCCTCTTGGGGCCTCTGTTGACCCTCTTCGGAGCCTCTTGGGGCCTCATGGGCGCCTCTTGGGCCTCCTGGGAGCCTCTTGGGTTGGGAGGCTCTGAGTCGTGTTCCCTCTTTCTTGCCCCTTTCGGTGCCGACGTGGGGTCCTCTTGGGCCGTGTTGGGCGCCTCTCGGGTTGTTTGGGGGGCCCTCTTGAGGCCTGGGGGCCATCTTGAGCGCCTTGGAGCGGTTGTTCGGCGACTCGGGGCACCTTTGGACCGTCTTGGGTTTTTTTTGGAGCCCTCTTGGCCCGTCTTGGGGCCCTCTTGGGCCCGAGCAAATCATGCGACTGCACTCAGTGGAGCGCAGGGGTCACGCGCCACGCCCTGAAGGTTGGGGCCGAGGTGCTCCGAACCCTGCAATCACTCTTCAGGAGTTAGGGGTGAGGCTTAGAGGGTTGGTGTAGTGAGAGGGCCTGAGGACACGCCCACTCTGTGCTCAGCGGCACGATGACGGATGATCTGTTGTTGCAAGCTATGCGGACATGGTCCGTGGTATGCCACTTCTGTGAATTGCATGGTTTGTTATGATACGATGTATTGCACGGCGCGGTTGTTCCAGGGTGAGCGAGGCTGTGATGTGTCTGTGCCATGATTTGCATTTCGAGGCACCTCATTGCGTTGTATCGCATGGCGCTCCACCGAGCCTTGTCCCAGAGGGAGGTATGGAGGAGGAGGGGGAGGATGGATATCAAGAGAGGGAGTTATGCGACCTAGATAAATCTTCAGCTGCCTGCGGCAAACCCCGCCACCGTGCTTGTGCAGCACCGCAGCAGAAAGGAGATTGATTGCAGGAGCAGCGCAATTCTGACGACTGGCCTGACCTGGGACGGGTTGTGAACTTGACCTCGTCTTCGTCCGCGCGGTAGGGGGGAGTTCGAGTTCACGCCCCGTTGCAGTTCAGCGAGCGGTCTGGGTTGAGGCGTGGTCGTGAACTCGGCCTCATCTTCGTCCGCGCGGTAAAAAGGAGGAGGAGGTGGAGGAGGAGGAGGAGGCGAGCAAGAACATGAAGACAGTGAGGAGAAGGCCTCTTAGGGGCACTCTTGGGGCATAGAGCCTCCTGGAAACATCTTGGAGGCCTCTTCGGGCATCTCGGGCGCCTCTTGGGGCCTCTTTGGCCGTCTGAGGGAACCCTTGGCCCGTCTGACGCCTTCGGAGGCCGTCTCGGTGGTTTTTCTAGGCCGCTTTTGTACCCTCTTGGAGCGCTTTAGGGCCGTTCTGGGGCCCAATTGGGAAGGTCTTGGGCGATCTTGGGGTCTTCTTGGGCCGACGTGTGGCCCTCTTTGGTGGCCAGATGGGCTGTTTTGGCACTGGCTTGGAAGCCTCTTAGGCCGCCTTGGGCGGTCGGAAACCCAAACAGGTGAGAACCTCAAGATCTTTCAAGCAACCAGAGGGGCATCAAGGGGATTCGCCTCCTCCTTCGGCTCTTTGGAGGGTCTCTTGGAGCCCTCTTGGGCAGTCTTTGAAGCCTCTCGAGCCGTCTTGAGGCCGCTTGGGAGCATGTTATGCCGTCTTTGGCCATCTTGGACAGTCTTGGTGCCATCTCGGTTGTTTTGGAAGCCGTCGTCAGAGCCATCTTGGCCGTCTGGAGGTGGTAAACCAGTTCGGGGTGTTTTCGTTTAGGGGTGCGCGCGAGGAAGGAGGGGTGGTCGGCCTGAGAAATCATAAACAAAATCTTCCAGGCAACAGACGAGCAGCCTAGCACACCCACTCAGTGCAGGCACAGCACACCCACCCATCCCAACGCACCCAAGCCGCTGCGAATCCAATTGCCTCGGGGCCCGCCAAAGCGGCCTCCGAGGCCGAAACCGAGGACACGTCCGGGGATGTATAAAGTCACATCGTCCAATATCTTGAGCTGCAGACCCCACAGCCACCGGCCGAAGGCCAACAGAGGGAGCTGCAACAGCGCCCTCAGCCGCCCCCGCGACGAATCCTCCTCCTGCTCCTCCTCCTCCTCCTCCTCATCCTTCTCCTCCTCCCTCCTGCTCCTCAAGACGAATCCTCCTCCCCCCCTCGGCCACGAGGCCCCTCAGCCAGCCAGTGCCCCCCAAGGCGGTTGTCTCCCAGGGTCACTGCTTTCCCCGCCTCCGCGCCCAAGGCCACTGCTCCCTCCCTCCCCCGTCCCCCATCGGACCCCACGGGTCATATTGTCTCCCTCCTCGGCCAGGCTTCCCTCCTCGCCTTTCCCCCATCGGCAGGTCCCCTCTCGCCCCGCGCCCTTCCCCCGCGGCCCCGCCACAGCTCACCGAGCGCGTTCACATACTCGCAAGGTGCCTGCTCGCAAACGTCCGAGAAACAAAAACACATGCCAGCATCGATGGCATGCATCGTGAATCATCCATGCCGGATCCAGGCCATTTGTGCGAGTAGTTGTTCCGCGAGTAGTGGAGCGCACCCCCGGCCAGCGCAGGCCATTGCCCGGAAGCCCGCGAGGCGGCGCGAGGACGCGTCCCCGCCTGGCTCCACTCTCTTCGGGGAGGAGGGGTGGCGAGGAGGTCGAGGCCCGAGGATCGATTGGGCATCGAGGACCGAGGAGGATCGAGATGCCATTGCCGAGGATCATCGAGGATAATGGTGAGGGATCGAGGTTCAGAAAACGACGACGAGGAGGAGGAGGAGAAAGAAGAGGAGGAGGAGGTGGAGGAGGAATAGGGTCGATGTTCCGGGATCGCGATTCCAGGATGGAGAGCCACAGCAGGGCGGCCACGGTGGTCAGATGGATTGGGACTTAGCTGCTGTAGTTGTCGCCGCGGTTGCGAGTCGTTTGGTTTGGTTGTTTTTTTGTTATCGCAAGTTGCCGCCTGGGCACTATGGGCAGGCTTCTTTCAGACTATGACGGATACTGTTGTTGCAGATTGCGGTCTTATATTTTATCAGACGTGGGTTTTGCGTGCATCCGACATGGAGTCGTCGCGAATAGCGACGCGAAAAGCGATGCGATGGGACAAACAAATCCGACCGAAGATGCAACACGGAAGCTTGTTCGAGGGCCTCTTCAAGGCGGCCACGGCAGTTAGCAGGAAGGGAGTGTGGCAGTCATAGTCATTTCCCGGCGGGGTTGTAATTGCTTAATGTGTTGGGATCGGTTTCTTCATTTTATCGTGAGGCTTGGGTCGTGTATGGTACGTGCATGCGTCTCCCAGGCTCTGAAGACTCATAAGGAGATTACGTTGCATCGATCTGACTTCTCTTGTTTCCGACGCGGATTCGGCGAGGATCCAGCGCGGATCCGACGCAGGATTGAACAGTGATGCGAATAGCGACTCGAATAGCGACGCGAATAGCGACACGATGGGATAGTCGAGGCCTCCTAGGGATTCAACGTGAAGGAGGGTTGAATGTCGAGGATCCATGTGTTCAACGATTGTATGCTCATCTTTCGGCGCCCGGAGGCATTTGGATGTCTCCGCAGAGACCTCGGGAGGCCCACGGGAGGCTCATGGGACATACAGGTTCGAATATCGATTCGTAGAGTTGTTCCGCCGTTTCTCGGCTTCTGGGAAGCTTCTCGTTGCCGCAGCTGGGTTCCCCTCGAGATCTCGCAGGACCATTTGGTTTGTGGCAATGTGTGCAGCAGGTCAACTGTTGCAGGCGCGATGGAACACGGATGTTTAAGGCAGTTGGATCATGATTGTTGATGTTGAGGTCTATCGTCCGACACCAACAGTATTGTCTTTCCTTTTGTAAGGCGGTGATCGTGGGAATGCTGATGAATATACTAATGGAAAGGGCGAACGTGAAGATTCATATTGTGGTGATGGTGGTGATGATTTCAAACATGTGTACTATGATGATCGTTTGTGGTTTGCTGGTCATGGTGACGATGCTAGTGACATAGTTTTGTTGATGGTGGTGGCAGTGCTTTCCCGCCGCAGTCCAGGGCCGCTCACGGCCCGATTCGATCCCATCCCATCCGATCCCCAAGTGCACAAACCGATTCCCTCTCCGGCTTGCAGGGGCCGAGCACGATCCGCGATCCTAGGCGATCCGATCCAGATCGATTCCGCGCCGATTTACGTGCGATCAGACCCGGTTCCTGCCCGATCCGAATGCTCGATTCCCTCTAGCTCAGGCCTCCCAAAAACCAACAGGCGCCCTGCTTTCTGGGCCACACTCGTGGGCGCAAAGATGATCGCACGCCGCGGTCTGGGCCAGAGCGGACTCCCTTCTCCAAGAGGTTGGCGCGAGGGCGCGATGGCGCGAAAATCATCGCGCGTCGCGCACAGCGGAGGGAGGAGGGGAGGGAGGAGGGGAGGGGAGGGGAGGGGCGGGAGGAGGGGAGGGAGGGGAGGGAGGAGGGGAGGGGAGGGAGGGGAGGGAGCAGGGGAGGGGAGGGGAGGGGAGGGGGAGGAGGGGAGCCCCAATCGCCCAACCCTCGCGTCGTATTCGACGCGGCGGCGACCCGCCGCGGGCGTTCAAGGTTTCATGTCGCCAGTGGCCCAGAGCCGGCCAATGTGTAACGATGGGGCGATCGAAAGGCCGCCGATCGTTCGGGGTTGAACGAGCCACGCAGTGACAGAATCAAACGCCGAGGTGCAAGTCGGGAATGTCCCTGTACAGGAGGAATATCCAAGAATAGTAGACAAATACTCTGATGACGATTTTTCTTGCTATTTTGACAAATGCACGCGTTTGTTTGCTTATTCGTTTTTTCCGAAAACCGCCTGTAGAAGGAGGTCGTCACCACACGAGTTTGCCGTAGGCCATCACCGTCCCCCCTCCGCGCGAGGACCCCCGGGACGTCTACGACTTCGAGAGGACGCTTGGCTCCGGCACCTACGGGGAGGTGAGGCTGGCACGCGACAAGGCCACTGGCGCCAGGACCTGCACCCCGCGCCCTGCCCCTCCACACAGCACAGCAACTGACAGTCTCAACCCTGCGACGTCCCTGTCGAAGAAGACAACCAAGAACGTGAGGCGGGATACCCAGGGAGTACCGGCACACTTTTCCTAGCGGCCTCGGTATGCAAGTTGGGTGGGGAGTTTTTCTTCAAATTTCACACCTCAACCTATCGGTTGAAAGTCCGCGCGGATTTCTTGGATCAGCGCAGGCCCCCCCGCCGTCGTCGCCTCCAGCGCCGTCCCTGGCGCGCTCTGCAGGACGGGCGCAGCGCAGATCCAAGAATTCCGTGTTGCCCTCAGACAGCGTACGTACAGTCAACCCGCACAGTAAGGATTTTCGCATTCCCAAGGTTACCTTTGCATTCTTCCCCTTCGGCCCATCCTTGGCCGCTTTCGCTGGCCGCGGCCCGCTCGCAAAGTGTCGCCATGGCTCTCCAAGGCTCTTGCATCCTTATCGTGCGTCCTGATCATGCGCTCTGACTGTCTGTCAATGTCGTGTTGGCCACTTTCGATGATCAGCCCCGCACGAAGTGGGTTGACTGTATGTCAATATCGTTTTTGTGCTCCTCTTTTGTGAGCCTTCTGGGGCCCCGCCTTGTATGTTTGGCAGGCCTGGCCTCAGGCTGCTATAGTGCGGTCATCCTGCCTGCACACGCGCGCGCAGGGGATGAGAGGAAAGAGGGAAAGGAGCGTAGCACACCGGCTGGCTGCGCCGATCGGCCACCTACGGGAGGTGAGGTTGACACCCCGTTTTGCCCCTCCTGCTTTCAGTCGGGTATTGTGATGAAGATGATGGATGGTGAAGATAGTAATGGTGATCATAATGATGACCCCGAGCCCTGGACAATGAATTAACCCACCCCACACCACCCATGAGCGTTGAGAATCCCCAGCGAGTGCAGTTTTGGTCAGGGGAGAGAGTCGGCAAGGCCGATTTTTGTATCGCGGGGGAGAGTTGCGAATCGAAGTTGCTCTCTTCTTATGTCGACTAGCAAGGATTCCTAAGGCTTCCGATTCATTTCCTCGGAAATCCGATGGATTCCCGAAGGATTCCCATGGATCTGTTCATGATTATCATGGACGTTTAGAGTCATCTTGATCATCATCATCGTCATCATCTTCATCATTATGCTGCGATTTCCAGGGAAACGTTTTTATCCCGCCTGAACCCTATTATCCCCAGGGGGTTATTATCGCGAGCACAGGGTGGGTGAGGATGATGATGGTGAAGATGGTGACGATGACAGTGAAGATGATGATGGTGATGATGATGATGAGGAGGAGTAGAATGAGGATTATGAGAATGCGGATGATGGTACTGATGATCATAATGATGATGATGTTGATGTTGATGCTGATGCTGATATTGATGTTGGTGATGAGGAGGAGGAGGAGGAAGATGAGGATGAGGATGATGACGATGATGATAATGATGATGCTGATGATGATGCTGGTGATGGTGATGACGACGATGATGATGCTGATGATGGTGAAGATGGTGAAGGTGGTGATTGTGAGGATGATGAGGATGATGCTGAGGATGATGATGAGGATGGTGAAGATTGTGATACTGATGGTATGCGGGCCGCACGGCCTGCCATGCTCCAGCCTGTCCGCGCCCGAGTTGGACCGTTTGATTGTGATGGTGATCGTGATGATGACATTGTTGTTGATGATGATGATGCTGATGATGATGATGATGATGATGCTGATGATGATGATGATGATGCTGATGATGATGATGATGATGATGGTGGTGATGATGATGATGATGATGATGATGATGATGATGATGATGATGATGATGATGATGATGATGATGCGCGTAAGACTTGAGTTTGTTATGGTTGGGGTTTGCCGCCGCTCTCTCACGGTCCAGGCGTGGATTGTGACGGCATGGTTTGCGTGAGGTGTTTGCAGCGGGATTTTGCGTACATTTTAGAAAGTGTTCCGTCATGTTTCTGACGGCCCCGTCGGCCAAATTTATTTCGAAGAAGCAAATACACAGACATCATGGCGCCAACATCGCAGAGTCCGCAGCCATTTTGGTTCAAGGATCAAGCTTTTGGGCCACTGTCCAGTCCTGGCAGCCCCGGGGCCGGTCGTGCAGCCTCCGCTCGATGGCGTGCTCCGCCCTGCTCGTGGCCCTGGCCGCCCTCGGAGCCACGGGCGCGCTGGGGGGCGCCTGCACCCTGGGGGCCCGCGTGCCGTGCCCCGGCTCGAGCGGCACGTGCGCGGGCGACCAGTGCTGCCCCGGCTTCGCCGGCTCGGGTGGCGGCACCTTCCCGTGCCCGTCGGCGAGCGGCGGCTACCCGGGGTGCGAGAACAGTACGAAGGTCGCGGACTGCCTGTCCAGCTCCCTGAGAGGCTCCCTGGCGCAGCAGAGGGTCCGGGTGCGGAGCACCTGCGCGGTCGGGGCCGACGTGCAGTGCCCCGGCTCGAGCAGCAGGTGCGCGGGCGACCAGTGCTGCCCCGGCTTCGCCGGCTCCAGCGGCACCTTCCCGTGCCCCTCGGCGAGCAGCAGCTTCTCAGGCTGCGAGAGCAGCACGAAGGTCACGAACTGCCTGTCCAGCTCCCAGGGGCAGGGGGAGCAGTGCGGCAGGAGCGGATCCACCGGCTACTTCTACGGCGACTGTGCCAGCGGCCTGGTGTGCGTGCCCCCAGCCGCGGGCTCCCCGCCGGGCGCGCAGAGCATCTGCCGTGGGCTGTGCGGCAGCTTCGGGGGCGGCGGCGATTTCGTGAACGCCTCCTGCACGGACGGGCAGGCGTGCTCCGGCAGGGCGGCGCTGCCGTGCCGAGAGTGGGCCGGCGAGTGCTACCTGTTTTGCACCCCCTCTGGCACTGCCGTCACCACTACGGCGACGACGACCACGACCACGACCACGACCACGACGACGACGACAACGACGACTCGGACCACCAGCTCGAGCGGCCCTGGTTGCACGGAGCTTTCTGGCACGTATTGTGGAGGCCAGGGCCAGGAGTGCAATTGCAACTACTGCGACGACTTCTGCCAGGACACCGCGTGCGCGAGGACCTGCAGGGTTCTGAACGGTTACTTCTCCTCCCCAGCCCAGTCCACCTGCCAGTTTTGGTCAGCAGCCTACGTCTCCAATCCGAGTCCTGATGCGAGCGGGAACTCCTGTGGGTGGATGCAGGGCAATGGCCAAGGAGGCAATGGAGACGACTGCCGCAACTGCGACCAGTACGCCACGGCGTGCCGCAGGGCGAACCCGACCGGCAACTGCAGGGCTTGAGCCATGAAGCCGGCCTGGGCGTTCCTCGTCACCCGAGCTGCACAATTCTGCAGGCTAGAGTACCAGAGGACGGAACGGCTCGAGCATCTTGAATGTCTATTGCTTCGGCCCGCCAGCCGCGCCAACAGCGCGCCGCAGTACAGAAATTCGCGTCCATGGACGCCGGTGGTTGCGAACCATTCGCTCGGAGACGGAAAGAGAATCTTGTGTTGTTCGGAGAACAAAAGCGCCAACATCGCAGAGCGGACTTCGTTCGGAAAACAATGGGATGGACCCAGATTGTCCTGGAGAATTTCGTTCCGAATTTCGAAATGCATTTCGCGATTTTTTTTGCCGTGAGTGAAGCCTGCAAAACATCCACGTGAAATTTACTTTGTTTTTCGCTCGCAGCTTCGGATTTTTTCATATTGACCGAAATCCACGCAACAATCCACTGCAGCACGTCTTCAAGGTCGGAGCAGTTGCAAACATCTTGTTTCGGATGTCCGCGCGGACTTCGGGTATCTGTGCTGGACTACTCTGGCGGCGCCCCTGGCGCCGCCCCGAGCGCGCTGGGACGGGGGAATCCAGCGCCGATCCGAGAGGTCCGCGCGGATCTCCGAACGTTCTTTCCCCAAGCAGTCCTTGCACGCAGGGGTTCCTTCGGTGGCAAATCATTGCAGCCTTGTATGTTCTCTTGATTCCGTCTTTGGCGTCGATTAGTGTCGATTAGCGTCTGGGAGTCGTGAAGTGGCGCCAGCTTAGCGTCAGCTAGCGTCGACTAGCGTCGATTTAGCGTCGACTCGCGTCGATTCGCAAGAGCCGACAATGGCATGGGAGGCTCCCATGAGTTGCCACCGAAGGTTCTTATTGTGATTTCTGTTCTAAGGAACTGGGCCTGGGTGGCGGTCTGGCGGTTCTGTGCTAGCCGTCGCCGCCCCTTTGGTGTTTCGAGTCTCCTTTCTAGAAAGAAAATAGGCTCTACCCCCCCCCCCCCCCGGGGTAAAGATCCCCCGGGAACTTATGCAACACACATAGGATTCTGACCCAATGTCCATCCGACCTCTATCCCAGCCAAATCGGTATCGGCCGTATCGGCCCCTCCCGCCATCCTCTGCAACAATATACTATGCGCGCACACTCGTTTATCAACAATCACAAGTTTCCAAAAATCCCTTGCAACGAATTGAACGAAGTGCACGCGCGCGCGTCGTCGCGCGCGCATGCCGAAATCCTTCAAAAACCATCGGTTTCGGAAGGAATCCACATTGAAATCCCAAAACACATACAAATTACAGGGTTTCGTAACAGTGATTTTCTTAAACAGATTTCGCGCGCCGTCTTGCCAAATCTTAAAGAAAAACACCGTAGGTTTTTCAAGATGTTCAAACATATTACCAAACGGGCTTCGCGCGCGCATGTCGAAATCTTTCGAACGCCCTTGCGCGCGTGCCGTCGCGCGGATCCTTTGCAAACCATGTGACGAAGTGCGCGCGCGCGCGCGTCGTCGCGTTCGCATGCCGAAATCCTTCAAAAACCTTAGGTTTCGGAAGGATGCCAAAATCGAGTGCCCAAAAAGCATACAACACACAGGGTTTCGCAACACTGATTTTCAACAAAAACGTGCGCGCGCGCTCTTGCGTCGTCGTCGTCGCCGTCCTCCCTCCTCCCTCCTCGTCGTCGTCGCCGTCGTCGTCCTCTGCCTTTCCTCGTCGTCGTCGTCCTCTTTGGTGTCGTCGTCGTTTCCGTCGTCGTTGTCGCCGTGGTCGTCCTTCCTCCTCCGTCGTCGTCGTCGTCGTCCGTTGTCGGCGTCTCGTCGTCGTCCCTCCTAGTTCGTCGCCGGCGTCGTCGTCGTCTTCTCTCCTCCCTCGTCGTTGTCGTCGTCGTTGTCGTCGTTGCGCTGTCGTCGTCCTCCCTCCTCCCTCGTCGTCGTCGTCGTCTTCGTTGGCGACGTCGTCGTCGTCGTCGCCGTCTTCGTAGTCGTCGTCGGTGTTGTCGTCGTCGTTTGCGTCGTCGTCGTCGTCGGCGTTGTCATTGTTGTCATCGTCGCCGTCGTCGTCGTCGTCGGTGTCGTCGTCGTCGTCGTCGTCGTTGTCGTCGTCGTCGAAGTCGTTGGAGACGTCGTCGGCGTCGTCGTAGTCGGTGTCGGCGGCGTCGTCGTCGTCGCCGTTGTCGCTGTCGTCGTCTGCGTCGGTGTCGTTGCCAAGTGCCATTCTGTACCTACCGTCACGGTCTTAAGAGGTCTTGCGACCAAGTTGCGGGTGGGAGGGTGGGATGGTTGCACGAGCAGTGGAGAGGACATCTTCAAGTTGAGCAAGTGATTGTTTGCACCACATAGGTTTCACAACATGGATTGTTGGAAACACAGTGTCTGGGGTCCACGCTGGGCATCATATTTACTAATTGAACGCCCCTGAGGCGGCAGACACCGCCGCCCCATGTTTTGGGAACCCAGAGTTTCTCTGCGGGGGTGTCCATCGCGACCCCAGAGGGTACAGACAGGCTTGGAGGGCGCTCTTGGATTCCAGGGCAACGAAGTAGTGCTGAGGATTATTGCTAAGGTGTAGTGTTCAGGATGTGTGCGTGGATTCGTGTGATGTGCTCGTATAAGGGATTGTGGCGAAGATGAAGACTGCGTCTTCAGGATTACTGTCTTGGATAAGCGTTAAGTAAGGGCTAGTGTTACGGATTGGTGCTCAGGATTTGCGTCTTGGAATAGTGTGAGTTATTAGTAGTGCGAATGAGCAACGTGAAGGGAGGATTGTGTTTGGATGCGAATATTTGAGACCGAACCTGCTTTGATTCGGCTGGGCTCAATGTGGACGTCCAGCTCATTGATTCAGCTGGTAAGCTCATGTGGGAGAGTTGTATGTATGGTTGCAGTCAAGGCGCCCTTGGTGAGTGCAGGCACGGCTCAAGGGGCCAAAGGGGCGCGCAGGCTCCAAAGAGCTGACTGTATCCATCAGAGCAGCTCTCGGGTAGCAGTGCTGCTGCCACAGACCGTCGACGGGCGCACCAGAGGGTCCCAAGAGGCTCCGAAAACGGCCCAACAGGGCACCCGAAGGTGTCGAAAACAGCAGCGGAGACTGGAACGCGATACGGGGCCTCGGAAGGCCCTCCACGGCACCCCCCTGGGTGCGCCCCAGACGGTCCAGGAGGGCGCCAAAAGAGCGACGGCCGAAGGTAGGTCCAGGAGACGTTGAGGACGGCCCGGGAGGACTTGCAGATATTCGAAAGAGCGTATTCTACCGCTGCTGGCGGAAAACCGGGGGGGGGTCACGGGGGGGTCCCAACCCGTCCCCCTCCTTCAAACACCAGGGGGGGGGTCACTACGGTTCGAACCCCCTCCGAATCCCCCCCCCCGTCCATCATGAAAAGGGGGTCTCACTGACGGTTCGAACCCCCCACCCACCCCCTCGCCGCGGGCAAACGATTCCCGCTCCTCGGGACAGTGGGACAGTGGTGGGGACACTGGGACAGTGGTGAGGACGGTGGTGGTGGGGACGGGACAGTGGTGTGGGGACAGTGGGACAGTGGTGGACGGTGGGACAGTGGTGGGGACGGTAAGGGTGGGGACAGTGATGAGGGCGGTGGTGAGGACGGTGATGGGACAATGGGATAGGGGTACAGTGGGGACAGTGGTGGGGACAGTGGGGACAGTGGTGGGAACAGTGGGACAGCTCAGTGGGACACCGGCGGGGACAGTGGGACAGTAGGACAGTGGGGACAGTGGGACAGTGGTGGGGACCGTGGGGAAAGTGGGGAGAGTGGGACCGTGGTGGGAACAGTGGTGGGGACAGTGGGGACAGAGCGACAGTGGTGGGGGCACTGGTGGGGACACGGTGGTGGGAAAAGTGGGGACACTGGTGGTGGTGACGGTGGTGCTGGGGACAGGTTGGGGATGTGGTGCGGACGGTCATGGGGACCCAGGAGTCGTTTCCCGGCGGTGAGGGGGGGGTTCGAACCGGTAGTGACCCCTTCCGGTTTTCTGCAGCGGGGGAGGTGGAAAGGGGGTTTGCCTAGGGATGGGGGGGGGGGGAGGGAAGGGGGTTCTGGCAGGTGGGGAGGTGGGAATTTCGAAGGGGGAAGGGAATGGGGGACACCCGGGTTCTGGAGGAAGGGGGGGGGGAATTTTCCATGATAAAGCGGCGGTGGATCACGCTCTCTCAGAAATTTTGCAGAGGCCGTGGATCAACGTGGCCGTGGAAGCCCCGAGAGCGGCGCAAGATGCTGCAAGAGAGTTCCAAGATGCGCAAAGAGGAGGCGGACACGGCCAAACTCATCAAAATCCTCAGGGTGTTCGAAGGTTTTTGGCTTCCACAGTTTTTCGCTTGTGCATGCCTCGAAGAGGGCTTCGGAGGGATCCGAGACGGCCTCGGAGGGCCCGCAAGAGGGGCCAGAGGAACCCAAGAGGGCTCCAAGAGGCTTCGAAGACTGCCCCGGAGGGCCTCCGGGGAGGTCCCAAAGGGCGCCCGGAGGCATTCGGCGGACATATTTATTAGTAGGTTCGCTCATTCCGCCAGCCCGTGCTGTGCCATCGCAGGCGGTTGTCTGCGCGTTAGCGGGGCCCCAGGGGGCCTCTTGGGCGGAAGGCTCGAATTGGTGGTTCGTGTTCCCCCTCTTGGGCCCCTCTCGGGGCCGTCTTGGGACCCTCTTGGGCCATCTTGGGCGCCTCTCGGGCCGTTTTGGGGCCCTCCTGGACCGTCTTCGGCGCCTCTCGGGCCGTCTTGGGGCGGTCTTGGGGGCCTCTGGGGCCATCTTGGAGCGTCGGAAGCCCGAAAACGTGAAAACACGAGAAACATCGAAACACAGAAAGTCAACGATTTTTGCATATGTATACCCATTTTGGGGTCCCCTTGGAGAGCTCTTAGGGCTTCGTTGGGGCCTCTTGGGCCGTCTGTGGGCCATCTTGGGCGTCTTGGAGCGCTTGGGCCGTGATTCCGATTCGTGGGCCCTTTTGGAGCTGCCTTGAGGTTCCTTGGGCTGCTCCTGGGGCGATCTGGAGGGCCCCGAAAAGAGCCCCCGTGAGTTCCAGCATCCTTGAGCGGACCTTGCCAGGACTTTGCCAGGAGTCGGCCAGGATTTTTGCTCGTCTGGGATGTTCCAGGGACCGCCCCGTGCGCGCGAACTAGAACAGACATATACTCTGTGAACCAGTTACCCGAGATCTCAGCACGCCTCTGGTCCGTTGCGCCGGCGAAAGTACAGTTTACACCGTCCCTATATATTTCTGGTACCCCTGAACGGACGTCAGCTGGCGAGGGGTCCTCAGAGCCTTCCTCGGGGCTCTCATGGGCCAGGTTTTGTCCCATCCTGTGAATGGATCCTTGCGTCTGCGACGCCTCAGTGGTTACATCGCCCTGCGGGGATGCTCGCCCCCACCAATCTCAACCGTCAGAAGGAAATACGGTCCCAGAAGACAGGGGACCTGGAAGTCTTGCGCTGTTTCCGTCTGGGGCGAGAGTTTCCATTTCATCGCCTTCGGAGCCGATGCCCCAGGACCCCAGGAGGCGGTCGGTCTGGATATCCTCGGCCCCCAACGATAGCCAAACCCACCGCCTCCTGCGGTCCTGGGACGTTGAGACGAAACGTGCCTTTGTTATTTTGCTGCCATGGACGGACCATTCCGTGGATCCCATTCGATATCGATTTTGGTTGGTTCGATCCCAATCGGTTTCGCCTTTTCGACGGTGCGATGCGTCATAATGCTTAAATGGCGTGCAGTGCATAGTGATGCGGCCGACCCGATCGGATGCTGACCGCGTGGCGTTACGACCCGGTTCGGTGCAAGTGAAGATCCGATTTCCTTGTTCGATGTCGATAGATTTTGTTATTGTCATGGATCGGAGCAGGGGATGCTACTGACATCGCTACGCGTCACACGTCGCCACGGTTGGATTCGCCTCGAAGACCTGGCCAGAACGCACCCCAGGAGAGGTCAGGGCAGCTGTGGCAACCGCACTTTTGTGTTCTCCCCAGTGGAGGTCGATCGGTGCATCCCTGATGGGATGCACCGATCGACCCCCGTTGGGGCGCCGAGGGCCTCGCCGCCCCGCGAGCCCCGCCGCCAGGAGGGCCATCAAGCGGGTCGGCCGCCAGTTCTGCGGCGCCTCGGCGGGGAGGGGCCGCGCAGGGAGCGCGGCGGCCGCTCGGCGCGTGCGCCTTCCGCCGGCCCTCTCTGGCGGCGCTCGTGGCCGGAACTCGGGCTCGGGTGGGCCCTCGTCCGTCCTGCGCACTGCGTCCTGAGCCTATGTCGGGCGTGTCCCCCTACAGGGGGATTTTCGACGAAAAATGCAATATACCCCCAAAATGCACCAAAAGGGTAGAAAAATATTTGAAAATTATCCCAGTGCGTCCCTACCTAGGAGTTGGAGCCCCTAGGAAAGCAGCATTAGTAGTAACAGTAAAGCTAAGCTAAAGCTAAGCTGAAGCTAAGCTAAAGCTAAGCTAAAGCTAAGATAAGGCTAAGCTAACACTAAGCTAAAGCTAAGCTAAAACTAAGCTGAAGCTAAGCTAAAGCTAAGCTAAAGCTAAAGCTAAAGATCAGCTGAAGCTAAGCTAAAGCTAAGCTAAAGCTAAGGTAAGGCTAAGCTAACACTAAGCTAAAGCTAAGCTAAAACTAAGCTGAAGCTAAGCTAAAGCTAAGCTAAAGCTAAAGCTAAAGATCAGCTGAAGCTAAGCTAAAGCTAAGCTAAAGCTAAGCTGAAGCTAAGCTGAAGCTAAGCGAAAGCTAAGCTAAGGCTAAGCTAAGGCTAAGCTAAAGCTAAGCTAAAGCTAAGCTAAAGCTAAGCTGAAGCTAAGCTAAAGCTAAGCTACAGCTAAGCTAACACTAAGCTAAAGCTAGCTAACAATAAGCTGAAGCTAAGCTAAAGCTAAGCTAAAGCTAAGCTAACACTAAGCTGAAGCTAAGCTAAAGCTAAGCTAAAACTAAGCTAAAGCTAAGCTAAGGCTAAGCTAACACTAAGCTAAATCTAAGCTAAATCTAAGCTGAAGCTAATCTAAAGCTAAGCTAAAGCTAAGCTAAAGCTAAGCTAACGCTAAGCTGAAGCTAAGCTAAAGCTAAGTTAAATCTAAGCTAACACTAAGCTAAAGCTAAGCTAAAGCTAAGCCAAAGCTAAAGCTAAAGCTAAAGCTAAGCTAAAGCTAAAGCTAAAGCTAAGGCTGAAGCTCCCAGGGGACTGGGGGAACCGCGGGGCGGGGACTGGGGGAACCGCCCGGGGCGTTTAGCACTGCCCGGCCCTTTAAGCAAAGAGAGTAAGAACCCTTCTAGGCAGAGCCTAGGTAGGGAAATAGTCCCCAGACTATTTTTGGATTATTTTATGATTTTGTTTGGGGGTATTTTGTTCTTAATCCTGGGCC